CCTTAAGGTACGAAATGAAACGACCCTTAGGCACTACTGAACAACTACTCCACTCTATGACTGGCTCATTCGGAAACTGAAACTTGACTGTTCGAGTTCTACAATCTATCGATGCATAACTAGCATGGAGCCAATCCATACCTAGAATGACATCGAAATCTACCATGTCTAACTCAACCAAATCAGCCATGGTGCTCTTGTGATTGATAGAAACAGGACAATCACGATATACTCTTTCTGCTAATATAGAATCCCCAACAGGTGTAGAAACACAAAATGGTTCACAAAGTCTTTCAGGAAGAACATCAAACTTATTTGCAACATAAGGAGTTACAAAAGATAAACTTGCTCCTGGATCTAACAAAGCATACACATCAAAAGTAAAGACTTTGATCATACCAGTGACAACATTTGAGAATTCTCTTACTCATGACGACTGGTGATGGCATAGAGGTGATTTTCTCCTCCACCGGTACTAGAAGTAGCTCATCTAGGTGTCGTCTTGTCTGGGGGAGCAACTGATGAAGAATAGGCCCTACTGCCCAGATTTCCACTACCTTGATTGATCTTTGGGCACTCTTTCATGAAGTGACCCTCTTGCCCACATTTGAAGGAACCTGTCTGGCCTTGACAACACTTCCCTGGATGGACTCTACCACACCTAGCACATGAAAGACCCCAGTTACTTCCTTGAGCTATACTATTCTGAGACTGTGCAGGTCCAGCTCTGAAGTTCTGTGAATTCTGTCCCGCATACCCACTTTTATTTCTGGGTGTAGGTGCACTAACAGATGATGGAGCAGGTCCCCTTTTCCTTTGCTGAAAGGATGAACGGTTCACATTACTTTTCTATTGCCCGGACTCATTACCGGTCTTAGCTCTCTTATTTCTGAACTCTTCTTTGTCCCTCAGCTTTTCTTCCTCAACTTGCTGCACATAGACCATCAACCTTGACATGTCCATGTCCCCAATAAGCATTGCAGCCCTACCTTTTTTACTCAACAACCGAGACAGCCCAGCAACAAACAAACTCATCCTATTCCTCATATCCGCAACCATCTCCGGAGCATAGCGGGATAGTTGGGTGAACTTCAAACTATACTCATGAACACTCAAAGACTCCTGCTTAAGTGTGAGGAACTCACGTACCATGGCCTCTTTCAATTCTCGAGGAAAGAAATGCCCCAAGAAAGCTTCCTCAAAATAGGCCCAAATCGTAGGTGGTGCATTCTCAACTCTGCCCCTTTTCCACTGGTCGAACCAAGCTCTAGCAATATCCTTCAGTTGATACGCAACTAGTTCAACACGCTCGGTATCTGCCACATGCATCACATCAAAAATCTTCTTCAACTCCTCAATGAAGTGCTCTGGATCCTCAGTAGTGCTCGAACTCATGAAACTCGGAGGATTCATCCCCAAGAACTCACGAATCCTTGAAGTGTCAGCTCCCTCATGTCTAGCTCCCCTCTGCTGACCAATCTGATTAGTTATAACTTGACTCAACATCCTAATTGCCTCTCTGAACTCGGCATTAGAAACTTCCCCTTGTTGTTGCACTCCAGGTGCCTGAGGTAACTCTTCCTCATCAACATAGCGTCTACGAAGACGCCCTTTGCCAACTCTTCTTGGATGCATGACTATCTGAAAACACGCGCAAGCACGGATTAGGAAGAAACTCTTTAGAGGTAAACTCTAACGAACGATATGAGTGTGAAAGAGGTGAGAAATCTTCCTAAATGTTGCAGCCTCCCAATTATAGATGTGGCGCACTTTACATCGATAACTAGGACTCTACAGACACGGCTTCATAGACTCCCTAGGACTCTTGAACTCTGGGCTCTGATACCAAGTTTGTCATGCCCCGAGCCTACACCCTGGGCGGGCCGGCACTCGGAGACCATTGCTGGCCCCAAGCGAACCCTTGGCCTGGCTTTCTTAACTCAGCGGAAACTTAACTCAACAGAATAACTCAATGCCATGCAAAGACATGAAATAACTTAACTGATGAAAGTTAGCCAAAAAGGCAAATCGAGTCTCAAAATAGAATATTTACATATATTTAGATGAGAGACTCAATACTAACTGACTGACTGTCTATGAAGCCTCTAAAAATACTGGGATGTATGTTGGGACAGACCCCGCAACATCCTGATAACGCAAAACTAAAAGAAACAAAATATCTGAGTCCTCCGGAAAACAAGGAGGCTCACCACTGACTCTGGAGTGCTCAGCTGGATCAACGGCGTACTGGATGCTGATTCGGGGTACCTGTGGGAGCCTCTCTAACCGACAAACCACTATGAATCTGAGTGGTGATACAACGTTTTACCTCACGTTGCCCGAGGACCATCCTATACTTTGCCGTGATATAGGAAGCTAACTTTTCCTAAGTGGATCCACTAGCTTAACTTTACGGGTTCATCTAAAAAGTATGACCCGTTAACTCCCATGTTGGCTACATGGTTCTTATGGAGAGTTGAGTTTAATATGAACTCGTATCCCCAATTCGGTGCTCGATACTACTCCCAAAATACTTTAGCTCATAAGTGTTTTAAACACATCTTTCTTTAATTGAGATAAGTACTCAAAATCTAGCCCAAAGGCTCACTTGGAAACGATGTTCCTTTTTCTTGAAAACTAGCGCTAAGGCTCTTTTTGAAATCATATTCCCTTTCTTACTCAAATGTAAAAACATTTAGAAACTTCTTTGGGAATACATAGTTCCCTAATAGCACTTGAGAAATGAACTGAACTTAAACTCTTGACTTAACTTGAAACTCTTGACTCTTTACTCTTTACTTGGCTTGCGACTTGAGCCTTAAAATGAAGTGAAAACATTCAATAAACACTCTTCAACAACTTTGAAACTTGCTTGAACAAACTTCATAACCTTGCTTGACTTCTAACTTTACTTGACTTCTAACTCTCCTTGAATTGAATTATTAATTCAAGGTGTTTGATCACATGTTACGGATGAGTTCAGGAGGTTTAAATGTACCTTAGAGTGTTGGAAACAACCATGCAACATAGGTACAATACCAAGGAACATGCATGGGAAGGTATGAAATGAAAGGGATCACTTGGTGTCCTTGGCGCTCTGCAAGGCGCGGAGCGCCAGCCCTAAAAATTCAGAGGGATATTGCTGGCGCTCTGATAGGCGCGGCGCCCCAAGGGAGAAAATTCAGAACCCCTTTTGGGGGGCGCTGGCAGGCGTGACGCGCCAACCCCCTCGCCCAAAAACTCGACTTTTCTCCTTTGTTTTGCCAACTCTAAAACACCCTTACTTCAGGGGCTTCAACCCCAAACACTAAGGATCATCATATCCCTCAACATACCATGGATTACAACTCAAAACACAACCGGAAACAAGTCCCAAATCAACAAGAATCTCAACAACAACAACTAACAACTTCAACAACTTGAACAACAAATCAAATCTCTTCTCAAATCATAAAAATGAGCTTGGTGTGCTGGGGATAGGATCAACCCACAAAAATAACTCACATACCTTGATAGGGATCACCCCCGACGATTTCCACGGCAATATTTGACGGAAACTCCTTGATCTCCTCTTCTCCTTCTCTTCTTTCTCTCTTCTTCTCTTCTTTCTCTCTAGAACCCTAACTCTAACTCTTTTAAAATGGAACTAAAATGATTCAAAATAAGTCTAACACAACAATATAACCTCAAGAGAAATGATTTGTGAAAAGACCAAAATGCCCTTAAATTTCCGGACGGATTCCCTGCCAACTGCCCAATTTTCAAAGGGCATAACTCACTCATACGAACTTGGAATCAAGTAAACTCGGTGGCGTTGGAAAGTACATTCCACGAGCTATGCAACCATAACTGGAACTACACCTAACTCATCCTGACCTAGAAGTTATGGCTGTTCAAAGTTGGCCAAAAACTAACATTTTCCATACTTGGCCAAATTTTTTCAAAATTTTCAAATTCTTTCCAAAAATGAAAAATTTCAAATTCTATGCCTCTTCTTAGTTATTTCATTTTTCCGGATGTTACATGTTGCTTGCCCACGATCGATCTAAGATTGTGGATTTAAACCACATTAAGATGGACAATAATTTAGATTTTTTCAAGAGTTATTCGTGGGGCAAAGAGTGTTTTGATTTAACAATGAAGTATTTGAAGAAAAAAATTAATTTGAAGAAAAAAATTGAAGTGTCCAAGAAAAGAGGGAATGCATCGTATACTTTGTATGGCTTCCCCTAGGCATTTCTGGTACTTATTATCAGTTATGTACTTGATTAATATTAAACTCTTATATATTTATATAGTATTTCATATTCTCTGTTTATTTATTTGTTATTTTATTAATTTCAGGTTTGGATATATGAGGCTTTTCCTCATCTTGATAATTATGCAAAGAAGTCCTTAGATTATCCTTTGCCAATTTCTCGTTTACTTAGATGGCACACGACAAATAGCGATAATACTGTCGAAGGTGATCCATTTAAGTACAAAGGGAGAAGTACAAAGGTATAAACTTATTTATTTTTATCTAGAAATATTTGTAAATTAGTGAAGGTCTTGTACTATTTATATTTTTTTATAGGTTGTGCATTCATACCTCATACCTATTGTCCGTGAGACAAAATAAAATTATATGGAAACATTAAAGTCATATACGGACGAAGTGAAGGACACAATCATTGATGCCTTGAAGGCCAATTTGAAAGGTGTCACTGACCTCACTTCTGTAGTAGAGAACGAGGAGGATGAAATATTGGGTGAGAACAATTCCAACCAACCTTGTGAGAATTCTGTTTCAAGTGGACAGGAAAATAAAGATGATAATTTGTGTGAGCGTGTTGCATCCCTTGAACTATCAATGATGGAAGTTGTTGCTTTTATACGAGATGAGAAATTGAGGAGAGCTCAAAAGAACAAGAAAAATGAAGGTAGACTAATTTATATAGTATTTGTGTAAAATAATATATTTGTAAGAATGCTAAGCCAATGATCTTGAAGCAGTTAATGAAGACTATACAACACCAACAGTTGATACATATGGTGTTGTATTGATGTTGATGAAATCCTTCAATTAGCAATAGTCGATGAAGATCTTATTGCAGTTGATAAGTACTTTGCAGAAGAAGTTAATGAACAGGATGAAAAAAGAGAAGAGGAGAAACTGGAAGAGAACGAAAAAGAAATTGAAGAGAAGTTGGAAGATAAAAAATAAGAAGAAAAAGAAGAGGAGCAGATCGAAGAGAACAAAGAAGAAGAAAAAGAAGAGGAGTGATATACCGTGAGTTTACGGTATTTCTAATACGTTTCACTTACAAGTTGTGTGTGTCTAAGGCCCTTTTATATTGGTTTTGATGTGTTTTTATCATGTTTTGCAGGAAAGATGTTCAGGCGCGGAAGTGTAGAGACAGCTGAAAGAAATGCAGAAGAAAGGCATTCACGGAGGTGATCTACGGACCATAGGTGATGACCGTAGATCAGCAGGCAAGGCATGGAGGACAAATCAGGGAAATCTGACCAAGTGTGGAACCACGGCGTCTATTGACGGTCCGTAGATTGATCTACGGACCGTACTGTTGATCCGTAGAGTAATACTGCGAGGATTCCAGTACCTGATTTTTGAATATTCTAAGTGTGGAGCTATGGAGGGGATTGACGGACCGTAGATCAATCTACGATCTGTACTGTTGGTCCGTCGTTTGCTTCAGAGAAGCTGATTTTTGGAAGCTGAAATATTTTCTAACTCCTGACTGACGGAGGACTTACGGACCGTAGATCCATCGACGGTCCGTAAGTCGGTCTCGTGGATTGAAGACGCGTACCTGAATATAACTTTCCTTAATTCATTTCCCTTTTTATTTAGGAGTTGTTTTCTATAAATAGGGCTTGTAAACCTCGTTTTTGGGGGTTAGACATTATTATTCTAGTTTTACTTTGTGACTTTGGAGATTAAGTTGCAACCCTAGCTATTATTGATTTTCTACATTCGTTTGAAGATTTTGGCTTTGCAACTCAAGTTGAAATTCTGGGGTTATTATTCGTGCTACGTAAGTTCATGATTTCTTCATCTAATAGTATGAATTGTGTTCTTGCTATTATGGGTAACTAAACTTCACAACTAGGGTTGTGGGATCCATGAGCGATTAACAAAGTATGAATAGTAAATAAGTAATTCTTGAATAGTGTTTTGCATGCATTGATAATTCTTTCGTTTAAAAGTCTTTTTAACGAGTGCACGCGTTAGAACTCGCCTTGTTGCTACTTGCCGGATCAAGGAGGTAATCAACAAGAAAAGAATTATCAACATAGATTTAGTGTGATACTATCTAATAGGCTAGTGTCGATTGGTGCGAAGTAATAACTAAGCCAAACATCGATTATGATGTCTAATATGAGGTAAAGGTAAGGGTTAGTAAATTATACACACGTAGCCGGATCAAGGTGCGGGGTGAAATTCTCTAGATGCCAGACCAAGGATTTAGAGATACCTAACTTATCACTTTGCATGTAATACACTAGGAAAGGATTGCGATTACTAGAATTACTGCGTTATGAGCTTGTGGTGAACACGGATACCCTAGTTAATTCTCTCATCTTGATAAAAACCGAAATTAACTTTTGTTTATTGATTACTTACTGAATTCTTAGCAGATCAAAAAGAAGGAAGAAGAACAAAAAGAAGAGGAGAAGATCGAAGAGAACAAAGAACAAGAAAAATAAAAGGAGCAGATCGAATTGCAGGAAGAAGAAGAAAAAGAACAGGAGAAGCTGGAAGAGAAAGTAGATGAAGGCTTGGCATAAGAGGGAAAATAAGGCAGTGATGAAAATTCAATGGACGTGATGGGTATTGTTATGGAGCTCAATGGTGAGCTAAATGGTGATGAGTAAGGTATTTGTGATATTGGTTTATTAAGACAATTGGTTTTTGAAGTTGGTTTAAGACAATTGGTTTTTGAAATGGTTTATTTTTCGTGTTGATGATAAGACAATTAGCTTTTAAGATAATTTGTTTTTGGTGGTTGAATATTAAGAAAATTGGTTTTTGAAGTGGGTAGATGATTAAGACAGTTGGTTTTTGGTGGTTGATGAATAAGACAACTGGATCATGTAAATGTTATTTTTGTTTTGATGGATATTGTTGCCAGTTATCGACTTTAAATTGTATATATAATGCATTGTCTTACCAATTCAAAAAAGACTCATTTTATTAATAGACTGTATTATTACATGAGTAAAAGATATAAGATTGTACTACTGCATTCCTATTACACATTTCCAAAAAGCAACCACTAACAACAAACCATGCAATATATATTTTAGGTCTTTCTCTTTTTCTTCAGCCAATATCTACTTTTGTTTTAGTTGATCCCTATCTTTTTCGGTGTGTTTTAGTGGTCCTTTAAAGAGATCTCTCCGCTCTTCTGCCTCTTTGAATAAACTCAATAGCAAATGCCTATTTTCTTCGGAGTTTCGAAGCCTTTCTAATATTTGAAATTTGGTAACGCCTTGAAAATTTGATGTCTCGAGTTCCGGACTCAATTTTGATGGGCTGCTCGTTGGTGAATCATTTTCAAGCCACTTAAAAAAAGAGCATGCACAATTCACGGTTAAAGAATTGTCGACCTGGGTTCGTATCGGTGTGTGACGTCCTCAACATAGCTAAATTACCACAATGACAAATGTAAGATTTTTTTGCATTGGATGTTTGAGATCTTGAGACATAATAAAAAGAGATGTTTAAGTATTATAAAATAGAATAGGATGGAAGAGTTCATGAATCCTTCATTTTATACACTAAAAAAGTAAATAGTTACCGTTGAAAAGTAGCAATTTGTACTTTGTTACCGTTGTAAAACTTGGATAATTGAGTATTGTCACCGTTGGTAAAAATATATAGATAATTAATCGATATTTTTTCATGTGCTTGGTTTAGATTGTACCAACTACATTTACAACATAAGCATGTGATCATGTATGAGTCCATATAAATTGGGGTGGCAATCAACAATGTGTGGTTGAACAAGTGACATCCTCATAACATACTTATGTTTTCTCAAACATTGTTCTAAGGATGTTGATTGTATAGCTACAACTCTTCCTCGTACATCACTAATCACCACACCCAATTTATGTGGACTCTTACATGATCATATGACTTGTTTAAACTTATTAAATTGGATAAATTTCAAATATATAATTTATTATTAATTAATTGCTTTCTTTTTTAAATTCTACTAGTTTTGGTCTATATATAAGTGTTAGATTCTAGTAGGTGAAGTATCGACAATGCGTTAACATAGATATAAACCCAAATATACCTTACTAATGTCAGAGTGTAAATATCATATGTCATACATACACTACACACATATAGATGTATCGATTGTATAAATGGTCTATATATTTTGATAACTAGTAAATATTTAGATATACAGATTTTACAATGGTAAAAAAAGTTTAAATTGCTACTTTTTTTAATGGTAGCATGTATATTTTTGACAATTCATTAAGAATTCGTTTGGTAGAGTGTATATGCAAATAATGCTTGTATTATTTATAGTTGAATTAGTTATACTTAGATTATTTCTTAAGCTTTGTTTGATTTGGTGCATTAAAAATAGTCACAAATATCATTCTAATTCTAATTCTTAAGCATATTCTAATTCATGCATTAGAATCATTGCATTACAAATACCATGAATTTTCATATATTAATAATACACAGTTTAATAGACAGTGTACAAAATTTATGTCATCTTTTGATTGATCTATATTAGATCATGAGTAATTACGATAATAGATGACAATAAATTGACCAAAATGCTGGCAGTAGCTTGATTACAGTAGCGAAAAAAACTGCCTGAGTATAGCTAATAGGTTCATGTAGATGAGAAAGAGTATTTAACAAATTTTGGTTGGAAGATGATAGAGCAGTGAAAGAGAAGAGGGAAGGAGTGATAGGAGAAAGAAAGCAAGAAGAAGTGAGATCAGTGAGTTGGAGGGCATTACAAATATAGTCCTTCAAGTAAACAGGTGCAGTGTGAGGTCTGGAAGATTTTCGAATGAGTGTATCAAGCATAGAATCAGAAGATGGAGTAGGGGAAATATGCGAGGGACTGTGAGAAGCTGAAGTAGGAGAAGAAGGGGTGTCCAAAGACACAAAATTTGGGGAAGGAATCAGAGGATCAGTTAAAGGCAGAGTAAGAGTAATAGAAGGGGGAACCTCAAGGGAATGATCCATGTGATGTGGAGAAGAAAGTTTAGGCAAAAAGGAATCTAAAATAGTAGGCTTGATGGAGGAAAATGGGAAAATAGTTTCACGAAAGACGACGTCCCTTGAAATGAAAGATCTCATAGTTTTGAGATTAAGTAATTTATACCCCTTTTTGCCATGAGGATACCCTAGGAAAACACAAGAGACGCTTCTTGGATCAAAGTTTGTCCTATGACTTGATAAAGTAGAAGCAAAACAAAGACACCCAAAACTTTTCAAATTGGTGTAAGTAGGCAAAGTGTGAAATAATAACTCATAAGGGGTTTTGTAGGAAAGAACCTTAGAAGGAAATCTATTGATCAGGTAAGTTGCCGTTAAGAGACAATCTCCCCAAAATTTTATAGGCAGGTTAGACTGGAAAAGGAGGGCCCTGGAGGTTTCCAACAAGGAACAATAAAATTGGATTTAGAAGTTATAGGAATAGAGGAAATTTTTTTCATATTTCTCAAAGGCATGTGGCCTAATTTGTAGTGCCACAAATTTTCTTTTACATTGGAATTAAAAAGACTGAAACTAGAAACTAAAGCAGGAATAGAGTTTATAGCATTACTCTTTCCTGTGACAAGATTTTTGCCTAACTTAGTACTAGATTTGGAATGAAAAACGGCAAGACTTGGCTTGGCAATGTAAAGACCTCCTGCTGCTTTACCAATCTCTAGAGGGCTCTTCAGAGAAAGGCCCTGCAAAAAACAAGATGTAGAAGTGAATAGAACAGAGTGAGATAATTGTTGAGACAATTTATTTACAGACAGAAGATTGAATCTGAAAGATGGTATATAAAGAACATGTTCAAGAACAATATTAGGAAAAAGGGAAACAGATCCATAGTGAGTGACTCGAACTTTGTGTGAATTAGGAAGAGTGATCATAACAGATCTAGGTAGAGGTTTCAAATTAGAAAGAAAAGATTTATTAAAGGACATATGCTCAGAAGCACCACTGTCTATAATCCAAGAATCATCTGTATGAGCAAAACATGCATAGAAGTTAAAGAAATTAGCTATACCAGCACAGTTGGCAATTGCCATATCCTCAGAAATATTTCCCCCTTGCTTGAATTGCTGAAGTAAAGACAATAGCTGTGTTATATTCTCCTGTGTGAGGTTTAACGGATCAGCTACATTAGGCCTTTCCTGCTCAGGGTCAACTCTGTTGCTTGCAAGAGCTGCAATTTGAGTTCTTTTTCCTTTTGTGAACTTGAAATCAGGAGGAAATCCATGGATTTTGTAGCACTGGCTTATGTTATGCCCAACCTTCTTACAGTAGTTACAAATGTCTGTGTTCTTCTTTGGAGTAAAAATTCCCTTTTGTCCCTTATATTCACCAGACTTTCTGTTACTAGGTGGATGATTAGCTAGAGTGAAGAAAGCCAAGTCTGCTGGATAAACAGGGGATGAGTTGATCTCCATTTGCTTCTCATCCTTAATCACAAGAGAATAGGCTTGTCCAATAAATGGTAAGGGAGAGGATATGAGAATGTTGCTCCTACACCGATGAAGATTTCATTCAAGCCCATCAAGAATTGAAGAAGTCTCTCATCTTGATGTGCTTTGAGATTCTTGATTTTAGCCCCACATTCACAGTTGCAAATGCAAGCAAAAAACATGTTGAGAGCATCAAGCTCATCCCAGAGACTTTTCATTTTAGTGAAATACCCAGACACGCTAGAATTACCTTGAACCAAAGCACCAAGCTCTTTTTGCAATTGAAAAAGATTAGCCCCATTGGCTTGGCCAAACCTTTCCTCCAAATCTTTCCACAGGTCTTTAACACTGTTAGAATAAAGCACACTCTCAGCAATTTCTTTTGATAAAGAGTTGAGCAACCATGAGAGCACCATGTCATTACATCGTTCGCAAGATTTCTGAAGTATGGAATCAGTGGGAACAAGCAAGGATCCATCAGTATATCCCAGCTTGATTTTAGCAGATAGAGCTATGATAGCAGCTCTTCTGCACCCACCGTAACTCTTTGCATCGAAAACAGTTGAAACCAGGTTCATACTTGGGTAATCTGAAGGGTGAATGTAGTAGGGATGAGCAGCATCAAGGGCACCATTATTTTGAGTGCTTGACACTGCCCCAATTGTTGAATTAGAAGAAGCACTAATGCTCATCTTTTCAAAAAAAAAAAAACAAGACTAAAGGAAAACGAAAAATAAAGGAATTGTTCTAGCAGATTAAACCTGCTCTAATACCATGCGGGAATAAAAGAATAATTTTTTGGAATTTTCCTTTCTCTGTATATAACTTGAATGAAAATCATCTGTACAGTATACATATTTATATAAGCAAAAAGGTATCTAGCTATAACAAACTCCTACAGCTGTCGTCTTTTTATTTGTTTATGGCTAACAAACTAAGGGATAATTACAAGAATAAAAGGAAAGAATAATTAGACCAATTATCTGAGGGAGGCCCAAGTTTGTGAAGCCCGAAGTTCAAACTTATTTAGCCGCCTTGTATTGTCTTCACTGTTGGACCCGGATGTTTTTCATAATGTTCACCATT